AAGAAAATATAATTTCTACGATGAATTCAAATAAACAACTATTCTAGTAAGAGCCTTATGTCAGTAATTTGGGTTAAAAGAGAAATACTGAATGGTGTACATTATTATTAAATTTAGCTCCATATATTTAGTTTTGTCTATTATTGTTCAAAAAAGTTTTCACTTATAGCCGATACTTCCGGAAGAAGCAAGTATTTTCTTTTTGCTTGAGAAAAATAATTCTAAATTTCTACATATTTATAATGTAGGATGGGCCACCTAATTTTGTTTTACTGGCAGCATTGGCCGTACTGGCAGAATTTTATTTGTTGCCGGCAAATTTTCTTGTTAAAGTTTGTGAATTGTGAAATTATATGATTTGTGTTGTTTCTGTTTCTGTTTCGTTTTGTTTTGTTAAATTTTATTAAGTATCATGTCCGCCATAGAAAAACTTTCTATTCAAGGAATAAGAAGTTTTGGAGCAAATAGCGAAGACGTTCAGGTAAGTATTTTTGTTTTAATTCGCTTGGGTGTTGACATAAACTCCGTTTAGTTGATATGCTTCCAATCACCTGTTACTCTTATACTTGGAGAAAATGGTTGCGGAAAGACCACAATCATTGAATGTTTGAAATATGCTCTCACTGGAGATCCACCGCCAGGTAGTGATCGTGGAAAGAATTTTGTCCATGATCCAAAGATTTTTAGTTTGATGGATGCTATGGGTCAAATCAAATTACAAGCACGTAATATACGTGGGGAACGTATATCAGTTTGCCGCTCAATGAAAATTACAAATCGAAGAGGAAAACCTGTTTTCGAAACGCTTGATTCTACAATGAATTTTCTTGGTGCTGGTCGCAAAGAAAATCTGCATTCTGCAGATTCTATTAGTAAACGGTGCATTGATGTAGATGTGGGCATGTGCCAGTTTATGGGTATGTATTAGATAATGTTAAACATTTATTCATTGCTTATTTATTTGTTTTTTTGTTAATAAACAGGTGTATCCAAAGCGATAATTAATAATGTACTGTTTTGCCATCAAGAAGAATCTAGTTGGCCCCTTGATGAAGCAAAAAAATTGAAGGAGAAGTTCGATGCCATTTTTGGAATAACTGAATACAACAAAGCAATAGAAAAGTTTATTAGTATGCGTAAAACACAAATGGAGGATTTAAAAGTCAATGGTGAGAAGTTTTTTAAAAGTAAATTAGCTTACACATTTTAAAATGTTTGAATTTCCAGAAGCGAATTTACGCTATCTAGAACATCTTAAGCAAGAAATGGAAAATAAAATGATGGCCCTTAAAAAAGCCGAGGAGAAATGTATTGATGTTAAGCAACAATGCACTACTTGTGATGAAGAGGTTAAACCCATTGAGCAACGTTTAAACGAAATTCGTAAAGTCGAATACGATGTTGCAAAGTATCAGTCACTTAAAGTAGAAATTCAGACAAAGTATGTTTAAAAAAAAATAATAAATTTTTAATATTAATTTTTTCTTACCTAAAGTGATGGCAATAATAATAATAATAATAATAATAATAAAGTTTATTAAAAAAAAGTTAACGAATTCTCCTCTATAGGCACAAAAATTGCTGTGAACAAATTGGGAATTTAACTAAAAAAATAAAGGTTATCTTTGAAGGCGACATAGATGATATAGAAAGAGAAATGAAATTATTCGATAAAAAAATGATGGATAAAAATACTGAACGAAGGGATTTAGAACGTAATTTAAATGAACTTAAGCAAAAAGATAAACACTTGCAAACTAAATTCATTGATTTGGAAAAAAAACGTTGCATGTTAATACAGCAACGCCAAAAGGAACAAGAGGGCATATCTAAACGTGCTAATAAAATGAAGGATCTATGTAATGAACTAGCAATTCCTTTAAATACAGACTTAGAAGAATATATTGAATGTGTGCCTGATGTGCTAGAAAAAATAGAAAATAACTTACTTGATCAACAGCGACATATTACTGAAACAACAAATAAACACGATACCGAAGATCAAAAACTTCAAACTAATATAGACACAATGCGTGTTGATCTTACTAAACTAGAGGAGACTGCAGTTACAATGAAGAAACAATTGATGCAGCATGAAACAGAAAAACGTGATTCTGAACGCAAAATTGAGGAAATCGAAGTTTCAGCAACTCGTTTAAAACAAATCACTTCTGAAGTTGATCGTTTAACTGAATCCTACAAAAGTACCTGTAAAAATCATAATCAAGATGAATTAAAAGCAAAAATTGCAAATGGAAAGTTAAAAGCAACTAAACTTCAAGGAATGTTTTCAAAAATAGATGAGCAACTAACTTTTCTTAATTCCATTTCGAATGTAATGGCAGAAATTACTATTAAAGAAAAGGAGTTGGAAAAAAGAGAACAAGAAGTACGACGTGTAAAAAATAAACATGTTGAAAATTTTAAAAAAGTATTTAATAGATCTATAGAATCTAATTTTCGGCGATCTTTGCAACAAGTATACGAAAATTTACGTCAGGATATAAAAGATTTAAATGAAAAATGTAATAATTTGAAGTTAAAAGATCAATCATTTGAAATTGAACGAAAAAATGTCAAGGAAGAATTAGGGCGATTTGAAAAAGAACTTGAGGAAAATAAAGAAATTATATATGAAAAGTGTTATGCTACACCTTTTGAGGAATTATTGGCTAAATGCAAAGAAAATGTCAACAAAAACCAATTAGAATTGGGTTCCTTAAAATCAGCTGAAGCAATGTACAAAAGGTAAATTAAGCATTATAAAAATAATTAAACATTTTTATGTAGTAAAGTGTTCATATGAGTATAGTGTTTCCTATCCAAGTGAGAAAAATTGAGAAGCTGATTCCTTAGTCTTGGTATATAATTTAAGCAAATTGAATGATATGATTTTGAGATATTGCATGCGTTTTTAATGAGAATTTTTCTCACATTTCTTAGACCAAGTGTGTTTCCTATCTAAGTACTAAAAATTTAGAAGTTGATCTCTTGATCTTTGTATATGATTTAAGCAATTTGGATTATCTGATTTTATGATATTGAATGTATTTTTAAATAGGGTCATTTGCAGTACGGTGTTGGAGCAGTTTGAGAACACTTGAATTGCAACGTTCAGATTGAATACTTCAAGTATTCAATAAAAATCTTCGAGAATAATCTGTTATATTTTTTATATTTGTTCGTATTTTATTTAACAATTATGTATCACAGTAAATGCTTGAACGCACCATTTTCGAGTAAGTTATTGTGCTCGAGTCAAATGCTTGAAATACACGTACATCAAAATGATCAAAGCTTTCAACAGATGCAATTGTCGATCCCTCTCTTCCTATCATAGATTTATCGAAATTTTTTGTACTGCAGCTAATATCAGTGAGGTCGAATATAAACGTGGACTTAAAACCATCCACACAGATGCAGTATCCTCTTCGAGACCAAAGTTGTCAGACAACAAGGTTCTCAACAGGCCTCCGCCTAACATCTCTCTAGAAGAGCAACGTCTCCCTCGTGCAGCAAGAACTGTTCTAGCTGAATCGAGATCAGGGTATAGCCAGGTGCTAAACAATTACTTATCACACATAAACACGATTATGCCCAATGTGTGTCCTACAACGCACACAAATCTATGTGCAATTGTCTTTTGGATTCACCCCATTGAAGTGGCCAGGTGTCTCCGTCTTGATCTAGGTTAATGTTCAATTAAATCCCATTCATCCAATCCACCACTTATCCTCATTCCTCCTCTCCATCACTCCCAACCACTACCCATCCACTTTCCCACTCATGTAATTATCTTGTATATCCTTTCATGTTATCTGTTTAAAGGTCTCAGCGGGTTACAACTACAGTAAGCTTCCAACAGCTCGAATAATATTTAAAGCCAATTTTATAAAGTTGGAAAACATTACTAAAATTATACATTATTTAATATATAATCTATTAATATAACAAATAAATCTTTTTAATTCTGTACTTTAAGATATATCGAAAAAATATCAGAAAATCCATGTTGTCCATTATGTCACAAAGATATGTCCAATAACGAGGTAAATTTCACTCACTTGTTATAGTAATACAATATTAATATATTTTATTTTAAAGACTATGGACCTTACTACTGAATTATCTGATGAAATACTACATTTGCCAGATAATATAAGACGAGCGGAAAAGATTTTGAAAGAAAATCAGTTAAAATACGAAAACTTACTGCAGTTAAAGCCTGTCATTGAAAAGGTCGCAAAGCTAGAAAAGGATATACCTAAACGCAAGAAACAGTTAAATGATATTAAAGATAAATTGGCAGCATGTGCTATTGAATTAGATACTTTACAACAGCAAATTGCAGAACCAACTGCAAAAATGGATTTGGCTAACTCAATGTTAAGTGACATGACTATTTTGGATGAAGCTATTAAGGATGTTGCACGTTTTAAAGATGAACTACATAAATTAAAGGTTTGGTCATTTTAAAGTAAAAGATATTTATTTTTGATATATAATACTAAATTGCTAGTTACTAATGAATATTACTAATTACTAGACTAAATTACCGAGTGACTATAATCCAGATGATACTGTTTCTATAGAAAATCTTCAATTAGAAAAAACTACACTCTCGGCAGAATTGGAAAATGAACGAAAAAGTATAGAAAATATGCAACATTTATACGAAAAAGTAATGGAATCTTTGAATACCCTTCGCGAAAAAAAGAATACGTAAGTTTTCAGTATGAATTATAAAAGTTTAAAAATATTTAAAAACCTTAAAATCACTATATAAATCATATAACTTTTAGGTTAAAAGACGAACAGATAAAATTACAGGAAGGTGTACAGTCTTTGCCACAATTAAAAGATAGACAAATTGAACTTGTTAATCTAGTTGAAACGGTTAAAATCGAATTACAACAATCACAAGCGAAAGTTAATCCTTTGGGACAGAAGCTTAAAACTGCTATAGTTGAAAAAGCTAAATGCAAAGAATTGAATCGGAAAAAGTTGCAACAACTACAGTCAAAGTTGGAAAAGCATAAAAATCTGAATCAGGATATAAAAAGGTATATAAGAAAATGACTTTATTTAAATTTGGTGAATGAAAAACAATTTTATCTTAATCTAATTATAAATTTGTACATGCTAAATATCTTAATGAATAATATATTTTCAAATTAAAATAAGTTATAAATACTTCATAAGCTTTTTTCGAGTGTAGGTTTGAAATTGGGTTAAAATCATTTTAATATGCATTTATCGTATTTACTGACCGGACAAGACTCTCTTTAACGACAATAGTCGAAATTGTGAATCAGTGGAAGACGAAGGAAATGTTGATCATCTGCTCTGCCACTATCTGGCACTATCCAGATGTGTGTATCTACTACAGGTCTATCTTTTCCTAAATTTATATACGTCATCCGTAATGGAATCGCCAAAGATATTGCGCACTTTATTAAAACAAAACAATAGTTTTCTAGCCAAGACAAGTGTCGTTATTTTAGTTAGCCAATAACTCGATTGTCTGTCCGACATTGCATTAGAAATATTGACCGCTATATAAAAGTGGCACAATTATTCGGGATAATATATTTACAATGAGCATTTCACGTGCTATCATAACAAGACCCCACCTATTGAAGCCTAAGTGTGCTACATTTGTAGTTCTACCCCTATTGACGTCGCCCATCTATTTCCATGTCAAACGACTAATTTGAGTTCTACTGATATATTGTAGAATGATATGTTAAGATACTGTTATTTATTAAGATAATTGATTTCCTTATATGCACTCAGGCAAAAAAATTAAAATGTAAAAATTTCGTCTATTCAATTTCCTAGTTTTGGAAAGGTGAGCAAACACCTTTCTTAAGTTGTTCCATTGTGAAAATTTTGTTATCCTTATATATATGTGTTTTTTAGGTCTCACTGGATTACAACAATAATAATAAAAAGTGGAAGATTGACTGACCTTGACATATATATATTTATCTATAATAATACATACTTTATTATAATAGTGTAGTAATAAAATTTAATTTAACCTGGTTTAAGATAGGTTATTTAATATTCAAATTGTTAATAAGTAACATTTACTTAATTTTTGCTAAAATTTTCACCAATTTTAGTGTTAAAAAACTGACCTTAAACCCGATTGAATTAAATTTTATTGAAATGTAGGTCAAAATAATGTTTAAATATTATAATAATATATTTTTCTTAAAATATTTTTAACTCACATTTTCGCTAAGATTTACTTTACAATTTAAGAATTTTAAAACCTAAAGTTTAAGCTCCTATAGCATCTTTACAATACCTTTTTTAAATACAAGAATTTAACTTATTAGGTGTACCGGTATGAAGTGAGCGTAAAGATACAAATGTTCCGACAGGGAACATTTGTTGTGAACGAGCCTTTATTTTTTTTGTTTGTTTGCTATGACATGTGTGAAATATATTTAGTATACATCAAGTCATTGAACAGACAACATCATATTTTTTCATCGTGTTAAAAATGTCGAATTTTGTATCAGAAAGTGACAATTTGCGGAAAGCATTAATTTTTTGTTTTCATTTGAAGAAAAGTGGTGCAGAGTCGCATCGAATGCTTGTCGAGGCATATGGTGATCATGCTCTATTAAAAGCAACATGTAAAAGATGGTTTCAACGGTTCAGAAATAATGATTTTGATGTGAGAAATGAAGAACGTGGAAGACCGCCAAAAAAGTTTGAAGACGCCGAATTGCAAACGATATTAGATGGAGATGACATTTTGGGTCAAAAGTAAATGGCAGAAATGTTAAATGTTGCACAACAAACAATTTCTGACCGTTTAAAAGCTATGGGAAAGATCCAAAAGTGTGAAAATGGGTGCCACATGAATTGAATTAAAGACAGATGGAAAACCGAAAAAACACTTGAGAAATTTGATTTCAAAGACACGAAAGAAAATCGGTTTTGCATCGGATTGTTACTGGCGATGAAAAATGGATTTATTTAAAGAATCCTAAACGGAAAAAATCATGGGTTAATCCGGGACAACCATCAACATCGACTGCAAAACCAGATCGATTCGGCAAGAAGACAACGCTGTGTGTTTGGTGGGACCAGAAAGGTGTGGTGTGCCACGAGCTCCTAAAACCTGGTGAAACCGTCAATGCTGGTCACTATGAACAACAAATGATAAATTTGAACTATGCATTGATCGAGAAACGACCAGAATGGGCCATAAGACACGGCAAGGTAATTCTGCTCCATGACAATGCACCTGCACACAAAGCAAAACGGGTTCAGGATGCAATCAAAACACTTGGCTGGGAGCTGCTACCCCACCCGCTGAATTCACCAGACTTGGCTCCTTCCGACTACCATTTGTTTTCATCGATGGGACACGCATTGGCTGAGCAACACTTTGATTCCTACGAGGAGGTCGAAAATTGGGTGTCTGGTTGGTTTGATTTAAAAGACGAACAATTTTTTTGACGTGGTATCCACAAATTGCCAGAAAGGTGGTCAAAATGTGTAGAAAGCAATGGTCAATACTTTGAATAAAATGTTTTTTACTTTCCTATTAATAATTAGTGTTTTATTTTCACCAAAAAACGCTCATTTCATACCGGTACACCTGGTATTTTGTTAAACACACTAGACATCAAGTTTATAATTTCCTATATCAATAAAAACCAGGTTAAATAATGAATTGCTTGAATTTGCGGAAATGAATCTTGTTGAAAAAATTGATTCATTGAAGGATTCCATCAAATCTAATAAAGAAGATATTGCAACAAAGGTCTGTATTTGCAAATGTATTTAGTGTGCCCAAAACCAATTTTAAATGATCTGCATTTCAGAGTCAACAAATTAAAAACGCTATGGAATCATTGGAAGCTCTTAAGACAGAACTTTTACAACAGGAAACTCTAGAACGTGACTTAAAAGACAATAAGGAGCTTAAATTATTACAACAGAAAGAGAAAGAATTAAATGAGAAAAGTGAAAAACTTGCTAGAGATTTGGGAGAACTGGATTTTAACAGTGTATCTCGCGAAAAGAATAAACTTATTAAAAAGCGAGAAGATGCAGCTGTAAGAAAAGGAGAACTTCTTGGGCAAATTGGTGAAATCAATAATCAAATTAATAAAATAAAAAAAGAAATTGAAGAGCCAAAATATAAGGATTCATTTGTTAATTATCGCAAAGCATACTATGCAGTTGAAGTTACAAAGGCCCTGATCCAAGATTTGGGACAATATCGTGTTTCATTGGATTGGGCTCTTATGCAATTTCATTTCGAAAAAATGGAAAAAATAAATCAATTAATACGTGAATATTGGAGACTCATCTATAGAGGCAATGATATTGATTACATACAAATAAAAACAGATGAAATCTCTTCTGATGCTTCAGCGGATCGGCGACGTAGCTATACTTATAGCGTAGTGCAGTCAAAAAATAGTAATGAAATTGAAATGCGTGGACGTTGTAGTGCGGGTCAACGTGTGCTTGCTTCATTGATTATCCGTATGGCTTTAGCTGAGACTTTTAGTAGTAACTGCGGTGTGTTAGCATTAGACGAACCTACAACAAATTTGGATCGTTTTAATATTGATTCATTATGCCTTGCACTTAATCGAATTGTAGAAGAGCGCCAAGCTCAGTCTAATTTTATGTTGATTATAATCACGCATGATGAGAATTTTATTTCCGCATTGGGAAAAATAGATAGTTATCATCGAGTTTCTCGTAACCATGAATGTAAATCTGAAATACGTAAAGTTAATATAGCTTAAAGTGCAATTAAGAAAATAGTTGTGTTACAATTGTACAATCACATTGCCGTTAAAATTGTTTTTTTATTATTAAATATTTAAATGTTTTGTTTTTTTTTTATACTTGATATTTGTTAATTTAACATCCATTTTAAAAATGAAAAAATTTTATACTTCTGTTTTTGTTAATAAAAAGGAGTGCTAATAACTACCAATAAAAAATGTTACAAGCATATATCATTTGTACTTTCTTTACAAATTAACATTAAAAGAATTTTTTTTATAAATATTTTAAATTGGAGAATATTATTCATATATCTCTACAATTGTATCCAAAAATTTGACAAAAAGCTATTATACATTATATATAAATACAGTTAAACTTCCATAACATAAACTTCTATAACTCGAACTAAAATATATGCAACAGGGTTTTAGAGAGCAAATTACGTACAATTCTGCTTCCATAACTCGAATTTCTATAACTCGAATAAAAATATTGTCACGTACCATTAGGAATATGGGAAAGTGCATTCAATAAGTCGAATTTTTTGTTTAAGTATGAATCCACTTTAGTGTTAGGGGAATTCCGTTTTCACAAACCAAATGTTTAATTTTTTCTTCCATACGTTGTTTCTTTGTGCAAACGCTAGTCGCTGACAGCGTGGTGTAATGAACAATGAAATTTGTACATCAAGCTTCCCTACAGATGACGATATTATTGAGCATTATAGTTCTGAATTAGTGAATACGATTCTAAGCAAAATGGAAACTGATGATGAGGGTTCGGTGGATAAAATTGTTCATTAGCCTTTCAAGAATAAAGTAGAAGAGTCAATCAAAATTTAAAATTTTTATTTACAAATGAATGATACTCGAACTGATATAGTGATTATCAGCTTTGAATAAATTAGAATTTTCAGTTAAAGAAAATAAAATAAAAGTAAAATTCCAAACCCTTATTTTTGAATATTCTTGTCAGTTAATATGATGGAGTTAACTCGTCATGCAATACAAGAGGTAGTGAGAAGCAGATACAACATATGTTATTAATATGTTAAAATTATGTTTTGGCAGAATTAAATAGACATAAAAATTTGGATGTTCAGCAAAAAATTAGAGAATTTAATTTAAAATATATCTGCCGTGTGGCTAATGTCAGTTTTAATTAATTCTGGGATGGAAATGATGTCGTTGTGGTAGCCCGCAGGGATCTGTAAAGCAGATTGTTATAGGATATATGTGACAAATACATGGATTAGGATGTGGATCGATAATGGTTTTTGAGAGGAAGGCGATTATTAGGAAGTGGAAGTGAATCCAAACGACTATTGACCTTAAAGGGATGGAAATATGATGTTGCTCGCTGTATTAGCATTGAAAATGTACGTTCGAAAAAACATGAAATCGTTATTTTAATGTTCTAACAACTGAATCCAAGTACTTTACCGAAGCGTAGTATTAAAATCCATTTTGAACGAAAAATTGACACAAACAATTTTTTTCTACAATATTTCAATTTTGTGGAACATATTTTTTATGGAGATAATCTTAATTTTTTGTGGAAAATGGATGTCAACTAAGTTTCACAAATGTTCATTTTGATGAAGAGTTCGTAGAAAGCTTGTGAGTTCAAATTTACTCAATTAATTTGAAACTGCTCTGGTAAAACCGCATTATTCTCTCTAATTTCCTTTACGCGTTGTCAATTTGAGTGAGAATACTCCTAAGGTGTTTTAACTATAAATGAAAGATCTAGTATTTTTTATAATTATTGTAAACTATATCCTTACTCATGGTTAACATAAGTAAATAGATATATTTAAAAGTAAACTTCTTTATTATCCCCTAATTATTGGAATGTGGTTTCTGTCGTTAGTTTTCTATGGATCGTTGGCATACGTTTCTTGTTTTTTTTACTATTAATACACCGAGGGAAGTTGATATAACTTAATATAAAAAATTAAATAAATAATATACCAGATAAATACATTTGTTCAATTAGGTTAAATAATGAATAATTTAAAATATGTTCGCAATGCAACTCATTGCAATTAATTTAGAATAATTATTTGTTTAATTTGCAATTAAACTGTTTTATTTGTTTATAAGAACAATTCAAATGCAACTGAACAAATATTTAATTAATAATCAATTGTGAATTTAATACTTACAATACTTGGTAAGTTTTTCAGCTATATCGTATAAATAGACTTGAATATTAACTATTGATCAGTTAGTTTTGGATTTACAAACCGAGATATAAATTCATTGAATAACAGACTAAGGATGTTGTCCTCACACTTCATACTTTTATTCTTATTGATCACCACTTTGCTGTTACTATGCGCTCCTGCAGCAGAAGCAACATTGCTTTTGTTCCTGTGCTTGGTTAGATCACCATTGTGTCCATTCAGAACAACAACTACATAATAGCATGGATTTGGTAAACTAATTGCAAACAATAAATAAAATTATGTGCATGTAATATAATTTGTTTTTTTTTCGTCCATTATTAATAATTTTCCATTAATTAGTTATTAATGATTAAATTATAATTAATCATTCACACATCCTACTGTTAAGCTTCTTTTTACATAAAATAATGCGCTCTTGTAAGTTTCAGGTTAGTGGTTTCTTTATAATGTGTTTGATGGATTGTCTCAGAGCGTTCTCAATCCTTTTAGGCGTATTTATTTCATATACTCCATTTTCTCATTTGTCTTTAGTAAGAGTTCTTTAGTGGAAATGCACCAATATGGAAATGGAAATCCAATCACCATATTTTTAGTATTTGGTATGATAGATACTCTATCATAAAAGAGAATTTTTTGAACATTTGTTGGTTTTATTTTTTTT